GATAGAAAGTCTAAGTCCAAAATCGCTCTGATGAATTACGATGCCGCGTGCGTAAACCTGTCACCGGCGAGCATCGAGGGACGATTGCCATTTATCGAGTCAGCCGGTTCGTTAGTCCTTTTTCCGAGATCAGAATGCACGAGGCGAGACGCGAGGACCGTTTAGAATGTCAAATGAATTCGGTATCTGTCGATGCGCAAATGCGTAGCACGCCTTTCAGCGAGGAACGTGATTCTAAAAGCGCCGACCCGACGTTTTCTTGCTTCCTTTAACCACGGTCAAATTGGGAAACGGACAATTTTTTTTATAACGCCCAGTTATATTGAATTAAGTTCACGTAAATTTCATTGACTGATTCAATTACGCAATTTTCAAGAAATTCTATGCTCTTTCAACATGATATACCGAGAAAGTAAACGAATTTACTTGAGCAACGACAAACTTCTTTCAAAATTTCACTTGCTGGAATCCAGCAGGGAAAGTATAACGTACAGTATTAAGTATAATGGTGAATACGTTGGAAAAGAAACGGCCTAAATAGGCACGACAACATCACGTTTCATCGCCTTTTTATAATTACGTATATAGAAAAATTGTAAATTATTTCCACATACCTGATTTTCGTGAAGTGACGAGAGCAGTTATTGGAAGAACGAGTGGAAAGCAAGGCTGGTGCGCGATGGTCAGGATCTTTTTGCCAGGTCAGAACGTTAAGGCCTCATTCTGCGTGGCGTGGTTACATTCCCCGTGCAATTAAAGCAATTAGTGTGGCGATACGCAAGAAAGGGTTGAAAAATCCTAGTAGGTACAGGACGCTAAACATTCTCGTTTCTTCCTGTCGTTCCAGCCGCTATATGCTCCGAGAAGTTTCTCTCCCCTGCGATGGCCTGCAAAGCAAAGAGAGGAACACGTCACTGCTGGTGTCCTTTTATTTTCACTTCCCGAGGAGGAGATTCTGAGGCGAGTATATAAGTACGTATCGCGTGCCTTGGGGAAGGACGAGATCGGGAGTGAAACAAAGGGTCCAGATGGTCGGGGGCCCACCATCTTCCTGGTTGTAATTTAAAGCGAGAGCCCACAGGCACCGACTCAGCCTCCTCGGGGATAATTTCGACCCTCCTTGACTATCCACCTTATATACAGGGTGCGGCGGAAAATTTGATGCAAACATATCGTAAACGCGACACAAACTAATTTAAATATTCCTTCTTAAGAAATTAATCTTTTTCTCATTCCAAATGTTGTGAAATAGTATACCTATGAATCACCTTTTCCCCAAATACAAAATCAGCTAAATAAACTTCTTAATTTCCTAAAATTGCATTATCCTTCTAAACTAATGTTGACAATTTGGATAATATTGTTTGAAATGACGAATTGCTATTACTGGCTTTTAAAACATGAATCATATCAGTATACTAACCATTACTGGAATTTGCCATCACGATAACTTGTCATAAACTGATAGTTGAATGATAGTAAGATCGACAAGCAACAGACAACCTATCAAAGGTGATACTGAGAATGATTCAATTTCTTAGAATGATGTTAGACTCATTTCCCCACTTGATGAAACATTGAAATTATTTCTTTTTAAAGAAGAAAACCGTTTATATTAATTTTTTTTGTTTGTTGCACCCTGTATATACAACTGGCTCATCTTTCACCCTCGTGTTTCTTTCTCAAAACCCCGTCCCTTGGTCGAGTATATACATCCACGTGACTCCCGATATTTTCCCAGACATTCTGACTGTTCGCAGATGCACTGTTTTAAAGGCTGAATACCGTGCATATAAAACCGAGTATATTTTCATTTGCATCCATCGTAGGAAAGAAGTTACGATGTTCCGAGAAAAGGAATGATCGGATTCTCGGGAAAGACTGGGAAAGGAAGGTAAAGGAACTCTTTGATGTCGTTTGCTGTTCTTCTGACATCTCGGCTCTGTTCGACCCTCGCCAGATCCTTTTGCTTCGTTTTTAGAATGCAAATCGACCGGTTCGTCCGAATTAAAGAGCAGAGGTGATATATACAATGAATATACAACGCGGGTCTACAGCATCAATCGTGAATTATGTTGATGGAGCAACGTAAATCTTCCCTACCACTAATTTCAATAAATAAATAAGCTAAACGTTCATTCGAGCACGAAAATTCGAAGATATCGATCCGATCGATTTCCCGACATTCGAAACAAAATGGCATCGAGAGATCTTAGCCAACAAAGGAACGGAAGAACCGCGCGAAGGCGGATTATCCGTCCTCTCCTTTCGGGATAATGATCTGTAGCGGTGCAGCGGAATCTGCTGAATATATATTAATGCTCGTCCTTTTTTCCCTCGTGTAGATAATGGTGGGTTTCGCAGGGCCGTGTTGGAAGGACGAGGAACCGTGAGGTGAAAAAGGAGTGTAGCGGGAAGGAAAAAGAAAAGGTTGTATTCGTCGGAACACGGGAGCACCTAAACGCCTAGCCTCGATTATAGCCGTGGAAAAAATGTTTAATTGCTTTGTGGCAAAGGAAATTACAGGAGGTAGACCGACGGGAGCAACAACCCCCTTTCGTCTGTTATCTAGAATACCTAGAAGGACCACCTTTATCCACCTGTTGGACAGCTACAAGATAACCTTCTCCCATACGTTCCCTGCGCATTCTTCTTCTGTTTGCTTTACAGTGGCATTTAGGTATTGATATCAAGATATCGAGTACACTGGAGGCCCATTAAAATCTATTTTTATTATTCTTAATTGGAATTTTGAATATTTAGGAATAAAATATCTCCCTTGTAAAGCTACGAGTGAAGTTTCTCTTGAGTCAAAATACAATATGTGATCCCTATTATTAAAATCGCAGAGACCACTGAACATAAACACGTCTTGATGTCAACAAACCTCGCGTTGCTTTGAAATATTTACATTTTCGTACGTGTTTTTGTTTCACATTGAATAAGAGATATTGCCGTATATTGAATAGAGTAATAACAAGACTCGACAAAGACGTAGAGAGGATGAATACGATACGTTGCAATCAGTTTTTAAGAAGCCGTTTTAATCGCCACGCTCGTCGTAATGGACTAATAGAACGTCAAAGAGATTCCTGAACGGTAAGGACTGTCTTTGAAGCATCTGTTACCGGTTCTTGCGTGTAACACGCTGTAAAAGATACTAGCTAATTACACGGTGATACGTTGTGGTTATCGACCATTTCGTTTGCATACTTCGCGTGCCCTTTGATATCGCAATAAATTTTCCTACGTGATCATGTAAACGTGACTGGGGCCCCTGAACACGTTACGAGCTGGGATATTCAATTTGAATTTACTCAGGTCAGAAGCTAATGGAAAAATCTTCTTAAGAAGAAATATAAGAATAATACTATTACGAGGATGAATAAATGATAAATGAATAGGAATGCTAGTTTTGAATGAAGCGAGATGATAATAATGATTCGAGGGAGTTCATAAAAGAGTATTATTAACTCCACACTGTTTGGTGGATATACCGCTTGCGTTTTCTTATCTAAATGTGGCACCGACTAAACGTGAACTCGTTAAAGACAACAGTGACACAAGACAGTCCAAGTTTCAGCCTAGTAAAAATATTTAGGTTTTATTTCGCCTGCATCCTTCTGTTTCCCACGTGTAAACGGTGTGATCTTTTTTTAGTTCATTCAGAATAACCTTACTTTCGTATGTAAACTAATGTCGCTTTTATCAACACCTTTTGTTCTAAGTAAACTAGAGTTTATTTTAATTTCTATTTTTTAACAGATGATACTAAATACCAACAAATGAATCTACCGATTGAGCATTGTCATTAAATGTCAATCGTGTATTAGGATTACCGAACCTAACCTAATTTCAACATTTTCGCGGGGACCTTTTCGACTGAAACGCACGTGCAATGCCTCGTGCCTTCGAAATCAACTTTTCACCGCTAAACCTGGAGGACAACGATGGCATTACTTACTTTCTATTTTCCATTGACTTTCAATGAGCGAACTGTCTGGCACAACGATCGTAGTCAGGATATTTCTCAAATGTGCTCGTTCCTCATTTCCCTTTACCGTTCAAGGAACGCCCTAAAACAGTGTAAAGAATCGCTAATAAATCCACCGTTGATCGTTCAATCTCGGTAACGTCCTAACCTTGCTTCTTTTTCAGATCTTAAACAGCACTTAATCGAGAAATAACACGCCACTACTCTAGTATTAGAGAAACGAAGAAGTATCGCTTCGTATCGCTACCGGTTTCTATCGACACGGCCGCCATTTTGTTTTACTTTTCTATATGCTTTCGAAAAAAACATGGCGTCGTTTACTCCAAAAAAGAGATAAACTAAATAAATGTGCTCTTCGGGGCTTAAGAAACAATAAATGCGCAATAAATCTTTAACACGAAGCTTGCGTCACATGTTTAGAAACTAACTACAAAAAAAAACCGCCAATGAATTGGAAACAAACGATGGACGCACCAATTGCGTTTCAATTCGATCGAAGATCAAAGTTCTAATTCAGTGACCCGTAGCTTCGTGTGTCATAGAAAAATAGTTTCCTAATGAGCTTATCGACTACGAGTTTTCATGTTATCGATCATTAAATTCCAACCGGCCATACAAATATTTACACTTGCCTGCATCGTAGTTGTCCCACGCTGCCTGTCTGTATACGCAACGAGAAAGCGTCGGTTGCGTAACACTGGAGTACGGGATGATGCATTTTACGTTATCATTGGGTCGATCCCGAAGGAGGTTCTTTAATTCCAGCACGAAAACAGAAACGATCGTACGGCCTCGACCTGAGCAAAAGTTCGTCGAGGTTGTCGAGCTAGAGGCCAGCCTATGTATTTTACTACGTCTCACTCCCGCCATTACTGTTCACCGTTTTTCCTTTTCGCACACCGGTATCCTGGCGCGGGAGTCGGGAAAGGTCGAAGTTAGCCGAAGATAGCCGAGTAGCGCCGAATGGAACCGCGGAGAGCCGAGCGTAGAGGCTGCGGGACAGAGCACGCAGTAATCGAATCGCATCGTCAGTCCTTCACGGTAAGCCGGTTCATTCGGTTAACTTCGTTCGTCTCTGTTGTTTGCAATAATCGTCCTCGTAGGTGGCTGCGTACACGCTTTTCTTTCACTCTCTTTTTCTCTCGTGTCAAACAAAATAATCCCTTCAGTGATCAGTAATCCCCTCGTGCTATCATCGCGTACGGTCAGTGCGTATTGTTGGTGGACAAACTTCCTTGACGACGAGGCTGTTCAGTTTGTGGATTTCTACCCTCTGCATCCCTGTGGATTACTCGACGTCCCGCAACGGGATCTTCTATCAAAGGTAGATTCATTTAAATACTTGTCGCTTTAAAAATTGCTCCGATCCTGGAATCAACTAACCTACGAAACGTCGCGTCGCGTCGCGTAAACAGAATCGTAGCGGATCCTTGAGTCGCGCTTCGTGCGACCGTAGTTCGTAATGGCGTAATCGCAATCGCTAAAATCGTTTCTAAAACGGTGTAGTTACAAAACGATTCGAAGTCAGCGAACCGAATCCGATCTCGGGAATCTTCGAAACGAAATCATCTCAAAACAGTCGTATAATTGATCGCATATACCAGTTTACCTACTGTGCAGGTAATTCGAACTGCTTCTGGAACTCGTGTTGCATCCGTCGAAGATTCCAATTCAGATAGCGATTCTCAACCGTTCGATATTGTGTACTCTCGTAACGTCAACTCTTGGTTGTTTCGTTTGGACGAAAAGATAAGTGTAGGAAGCAGTTTGCTCGTAGCCACAGCTTAAAGAAACTTAGCTTAGCAAATGGGATAGCATGATTTAGAGGCGGACAGGAGGAAAGAAGGAGGTTAACGCCTCGCGAGAGATGCCGGAAATAGAGAGTATATTTATCGATCGGAGCCATGTTCAGAGTATTCAAACGAAATAGGTACGCACTGATGGCCGATTACAGTCTGTGATCTATAATGGATGGCCGTTTAAATCGTGACGCTAGACGTTTTTGCGTCTACCCTGTTAAACCGTGGCCACCCTTTGTGACAACCAACACGAGATCGTGCGAAATTTTCTGCTAAAGTACCCGTTGACACTTAAACGACGGTTTACCTTCAGTCCCGAAATTATGCGAAACGTTATTCCGCCGGTCCGGCCAAATCGTTACATTCACCTCTTGGACACTTTTCAACGGAGTATTGTTTATATTTTGCCAGGGTGCCGGGTGTAATTCACCCAGACAGACATGCAGTCTGTTTTCTCTGAATTTCCAATTGAATTTCGTTATTTTGAGAAACATAGCGAACGGTGTGTAGAGCATAGTTTATTAACGTCTCTTGGATCCATTTTCATTTCTCGTCACCGTGTATTTCATCCTTTACACTGTTGTCTTCCAACTGTATATTAGTTGCTTTAGTAGACTACGCTAATTTGTTGCGGTCTGCAGTGCTACATTGAGCAAATTACGGTAGCACTGCTTACTTTCAACCGATCGTTGCAATCATTTACGTTGTTACTTTTGTTATTCGTGATGACCTAGCGAAAAATCCAGGAAGTAACTGCAAATAGCGTCAACGATTCCAAAATATTACTCTTTCATTTGCAAACAGAGGTTTGCTGATTAATTGTTTTTTATTTGAGGCAAATTTTGAAAATTTTTTTATTTTTTCGCTGGGTCGACGTGTAGAAGTATATAATCTTATCGCAATAAATCAGAATTCCGAGAATCAATTTGCAGATGATTAAATGATCCTCGTGTTTACCACGATGCATTCCCCGGTACTCTTTTTATCGCATCGAAACTGCAGCGTTTGCAGACGCAAAGATAAGTTATCGAGACGCCTCGCAATATCCTTTCGAGTGTTTAAATTCGTCTGTTTACCCGAGCGAAGCAACGTGTACAAGAGTTACATACTTGTAGCGAGCCTTACGTATCCACTTGTTAGTCACAAGTGTCTTTGTCGCGTGGTAAACACCGTTTAAATCCTCCGGCGAGGTGCACCCCGTGGGAGACGCTCGTCTAAAACTAGCTTCTAAAACTTTCGGGCTCCGCGAATGATTCAGAAGATGTCTCGTAGGGCACCCCACGTAGTCACTGTCTGACTAATCCGCAAACAAAACGCGAGAAATATAGCCGAAGCTATGTCCAATTACGGCGTTTTGTTTCTCTGAAATAAGACATCGGCAATGATTCTGAGTAAGAAATTCCTGACAATAAATAGAACCTTGTTGATTACAAATTTCAAGGCCTGAAATGTGTATTTGTTCTCTTGATTGTCATTGGGTATATAAAATTATTATTTGTACTTTTAATTATCCGTGAGTTAAAATTCTTTGGTATCGTAATATACAACACACGTTCGCATTGCATTCAGAAAATAAACCAGAAGGATTTTCGGCGGATGTTGCGACCGGTTTAAAATTTCACTAGAGTTAAAAATGGATCGTGACTAGACTATGGAAACAATTATTTCAGCAACCGATTCGGTCGAAGTACCGTTGGCAGGGACTAATTTTAAACCCAGCAGCGGCATTTTTTAATCGTCATTCCGTACAATTCATTTGGCAGTCTTGCAACCAGATTGCGGTTTCGAGGGAAACGTGCTCTCTCATTAAACTTTAATCGAACGAAACGCTTTTGTAATCTCCTGGCTCACGAAGGAATCATGAATATTCGTCGAACCGATGTACCGTTTGCCATTGCCGGTGAATAGTTGTAGGTAAATGTTACGTAAAACTATCGCGAATCGTCGGGTAAACCTGAAACGTTCCAACGCGTACGTTTTATTTATTTGTTGCCCTAAAAATCTCCGATACGTAGCACGTTGAATGCATCGTTGATTCCTGCTACGTAATTGATCCCCGTATTAATTTTGCATATTGAACCAATCATTACGCGTTCTTATTTCGAAACATGTTTGCTTAATTGCGTTTGAATAAACGAAATAAACAAGAAAGCTTTTAACCGACCACGCCTATGCCTAAACATTCCTCGACGTCCGTGAACTACTTTTCGAACATTGAATTTAACTCTACGCTTTTGAAAAATAACAAAGACCCTCGAAAACAAAGAAATAGTAAAACCCGGGATACCTGCAGGATAATAAAGAACGAGCTCGTAGGGTTCAGCTTCCAGAGAATCCCTCTGGCTTCCGAATAATTTAAAAACTTGCCAGTGGCCGATTCGCTCGTAAATTCGCCGCTCCCTCTGGCTCTGTTCTCCCTTTGAAAACCGTCCTCCAAAGGGTTCGACCGAGGCAGAGGGAGGCGAAACACGCGGGTTTTACGAAACCCAAGGAAGCTCTCTTGTACGTGTATACCGTTTGTCGTTTGTCGACGCGTGTTTGTTGGGTGCCGTATTAAACCGGTCGTCGAGGTGCTCCGTGTTTACGAGCGTGTAGGTGAACGGATGTGCGTGCCCCGTGCGTACGTCGAACGCGGACCACGTAGAAAAGCCTTGCCGGAGGAGACGAAACGAGAGAGACGCGGAGGAGCGACGTTTCGAGTGCCGTTACAACGTCCCAGAGAACTCTGGATAAACCTGAACTTGTACATCTTCACTGTGCTGATGCATTAGGGTTGAATCCGCGTGGATGGATGGAGAACAGGATTTCCCGTGACGCAAGTTTCGGCGAGCTTTCGCTGTTGCATACTTTGTAACCCGTCCGTCGTTTGGTCTTTGCGAAGCACCGAGAGATTATTCCACGTCGGGACGAGATATATATCATGATTAACCCCTCGAGCTGGTAATTATGACGGACCATATTTATGGCACGTGGCATAATTTTGATGGATTCGTTAGGTTTCGCGGTGATCTTTTTGGGAGTTTCATGAAGTGGCAGCTACTTGCTCGATTAATTTCAATGTTTTAACATGCATACTCTTATGGGAATTGTTAGTGTTGTTTTGGAGAGGAATTTAAAAGAGTTAACGAAAGCACTTCTCATGTTGTTGAACGTATTTCGTTGGTGGTAAAAATGTTTACCCCTTCAGGCACGAATGATTAAATATTACTCTTGCAAGGAACGTGACTTCGCAGCGGTAAATAAAGTTACTTTTTTTTCAAGAATATTGAGGGTTCATCTTGTGCTGGTTAGGAGTTATCGATGAGAAACGATTTGTAATACGGTTAACCACGATGACAATTTTCACCAATTTGCTTCCTGATTGATCGAGAAAATGTCAGTTCCGCTCTCTTCCTCGATTTTACCTGACGTGACGTAGGGAAAGGCTTACGATTGAAAGCCTGATACAAAGTTTGACTATTGTACATATACAGCAAGTAGTTATGGCGAAATAGCTTGATACCAGAACCTAGATCGTCTGCTCTAATCTCATAGCTCCATAGTCTTGAATCCTTCCTACCGTAATAGACCAACCGATCGACTACTCGATTTTAGAACTGATCGATCCTCGCAGACCGCTTTAGCAGCTGAAATGGTTACGAAAAATCCTCGATCATACTTGCTTTCCTCTTACAGAGACCAATGAATTACATCCTGCGATTTATCGATTCAGGCGGTGAAAGTGACGCCGTTTGATACAAATTTAGAAAGCAGATATCGTGCCATCCTATAGTTTGCTCTTAATCTGTCTTCTCTGTTCTCGGCTTGTTGCAATTTGCAGCTCGTTCAGATAAAATATACGAACTACTCGTTAATTGCAAGGTAGATCCTTATCGAACACATCTGCAGTGTCAATTCTGAGGTTTCTAATTAGCAAGCTAATTGATGAGTGTGCATCAGAAACACTGATGGTATAAAAGTTTGTAGAGACATTGATACATTCTATTAGAACAAATGGAAACCATTTGAAATTTCTTAAGTTTCTTTATTTTAACATAAACTCTGCTATGATATACACGAACCTCGGTTCTCGAGAACAAATGTACAGAGAAATAGATTATCTTCAGTAACACGACTGAGGGGGTTCATTGGTCGCTGTTTGCTTTACGGTTATTATACTTTCCGGCGGACGGGAGCCCTATCGACTTAATAAATTTACTTAGGTTCGTCCAAGTAGACCAGAGGAGGTCGATGCACGACGGTGACCGTAGCGCAACGTACCAGGAGAACGCAAAGTTCTCCTTGTGCTTCCAGACACTCGTTAACGCGTAAAAAGCTCTAACAAGAGTGGTAACGAATTAGTCAGGACACCGCGTAATGGTGTCGTAGGTTCTTTTCCTGTAGTCCGTGATAGCGAGACAAAGGATCGGTTCGAAGGTGACGTTGCAAAATTTCCTCGTGAATCATCCCGAGTCTGTTTGTCTCGTTTTTATTAATCAATCTCGCAGCAGTCGGAAGATCAATCGCGATTGTAAACGCGCGATTT